TGTCTTTCTTATTAAACCAGTGGACTGTGCTCTACATGTCCAGAAAGGAAATAACTGAAAAATACATTATTCGTGGGTTTCCCATAATAAGCACATAATGGGCTCTCATGAGAGCAGATGATTATTATCTCTAAAGAAAGCTTTACTCATGAATTTCAGATGAAGATAAAACCACAAAGCAAACGATGCTGCAAGACGATTTCTTTTTTCAATGTTTATTTTTAGTTTTGAGCTTGCATTTATAATTTCTGCTCATAGTCTCTAAATGTAGAAAATCTTTTGTTAAAACTCCCTAAAATACATATCATTAGAAAGTTCTACTTTTTGTCTTCAGAGCACTATAAGAAGCAAAACAAATTTAAATTTAGTGAGCAACAATAAAAGATCTACACAGCTCCAAAGATTATTCATTGTATAATGCCCTTTTTAACACAAGGGAGTCCAGATATTAAAGTTTGTGGTGACTAAACAAGAACCAGTGGTTTCCATGGTCAGTGCAGCTGATAAAGCTGATATTACTGCAATATCACTGCGCAGTGTGTCACGTTTCCTCCAGCAGGGCTGACCTACTAAAACAGCAACGCTCACAGCAGAAAGAGCGTGTTGTCTGCAGTCGCATAGGCAGTGGTGTGCAGATTACTTCATCTGAAAAACAGTGTCTTTCATCTAATCATCAGATTTATGCAAAAGCTACAGAGGTAGTTTTCATAAACTCAGTGAAGTAGTCTTAAAATTGCAAAACAGTGGAGGACGATATCTTGATTGGCCTTTTAGCAGGAGTCTCTCTGAAGCTTTCGGTGTAGGACGCTGACTGCCACAGTGCAGCTTAAAGTGGAGCATGTTTGGCGTTTTTTTTTTTCTTTCTTTTTTTTTGTCAAACTCCAAACGGTGGGAAATATATTCCCTTTACTAGTCACAGGAGGATTTTACACATTAAGGGAACTGATTTCCAAACTTGGCAGTAGAAAAATGAATAGATAACATTAAATTTAAGAAATAACAAAAACTATCGATGTTATCATATTTTTAAATGTAATAATAAACGTATAAACTGATAGAATCCACATGATGTGCCTGCGGATACTGAATTTAGATTTAAAATGAACATTTGGGGTTGTTACCTGAAGATCTTTAGGGAAATCAGAAAGCCAACGAAAAAAAATCTTACATGATTGAAAACAATTCCCAGTTGTATGCGGGCATTCGCTGCAAGCGTAGCGCTGACGAAGCCAATTACATGACACTTGTAGCTGTGAGAGTGAGGAGAAAGCTGTGGATTATCTCATACTAGTGGCACACATGATGGGAAATTTCAAAAAGCAGACGCTGAGCTGGTACTCCGTTGTAGCTATAGCTGAAGGCTGTGTTTAATCTTTGTCTCCTAATTGCAGAGTTTATGATTTTACCAATAACGTACAGTCAGCTCCACTAGAGACAGCGGACAAGCGTGTTTCTCCTATTTGCACACACTAACAATTTCCCAGCTGTAGATATAGAACGATTTTGCTCACATTAGAGCAATTACCGAGCTTCAGATAAGAGCTAATGAAAATACACTTTGTGGCTGGTTAAATGACCTTGATGTAAGCTTCAAACATGTTTTCAGCCCGTGACTTCACACCCATGGACCTGAAGAAGGCATTTCTTTGATCACTGCAGTAGCTGTGTATTTTTTATATGATTCTTTTGCTCTCCACACATCTTATTGAACACTTTCTTGCCAGGGAATAGGGTGAGCCGTGAGACCATTTCTGGGGAGCTGCAGTCATTGGTACCTGTGCAGGTCATTTCACTGGAAGAGAACTGACCGCATAAAAGTGATTTCATGGTATATTTCATTTTAAAACACCCTAAGGTGTCCAATAGATGTTCTTTTCCTTCACCCTAACCAACCTGCTCTCACATGGAGATATCTGAATATGCATTCACATTGTGATCTAATATGCAATAACAGTTATGTTTACTGAGCAGCAACTTATTCCTGGTATCTAGAGATGTGCTCAAAATGCCCCGGTTAGATAACCACTGCACTCAAAGTACTTTGATACTCTCTAATCTCCAGTTAGAACAACAATAAAGATAGCAGCGCTCTGCTGCCATTTAATTAGGCGTATTCATGAATATGTTGATTTTAAAGCAACTAATATACTTAAGAAGCAAGTCTTTGAAAAACTAAAGTATAGCGGTCATAATGGATTTGTACGGTGGCTTCACTGTGAGCGTTATTTTCTTAAGTAAGAAAGAGTCTAACACAGCAGAATATGCTAATACACCATCTATTTCCATTAGTCTCACCAGAGTGTATTTAAATAACCTTTTTTGGCCTTATACAACAGGGGCTTTTTGACATTTGAATTGTATTTTAGGTCTGGAAATCCAACCTAGCCTGTAAAACAAGCGTCTCCACCAAGCCTGGGAATCAGACACCTCAGAGAATTTGATTTATTCACATTATGCATGCCTGACAAACAAAAGATAAGAAAGATTTGCGTCCTTTCTGCCGTGCCACAGTTTCACTTTCGTTCTTCCCATAAAGTCCCTCTTCACTCTGACTTTTGAACAGCTTAGTAAAGGTAACAAAAAAACATAAATTCAGAACCCAAAGAAAATATCTGGCATCTCTGTCTGCTTCGAGCCATCTGATGAAGGCAAAAATGTCATATAAAATTATGTGAAGAGAAAGGAAAATGGCTTTGAATTATTTGAGCTACCAGGCTGTGTTCCCTCAAAGGTGTAGCGATGCTTTGAAGTTGATATGGCAATGGGAGGATTGAGCTGATGGTGTTCATTCTTAAAAGAATGCTGACTATTGATTGTGCTTATTCTGCTTTTAGACGGGTGTAATACTAAGTAGCTCTGCCACTGAAACAATCCCTTCCCCTGTGATAACAATGAGATAATCTCTGCCAATGTGCATGTTCCCCTTGTGTAATTGCTGGAAGAACACATTATGTAATATCTTTTGCTTCATGGGGCGTGCTAGCATGAAACAGATGCTGTTAATTATGACAGCAAAGATAAGGAACGGATAACGTTGTTTTGCATTAGGAAAGCAAAAAAAAAAGTCATTGATCAGCTTTCTAAAGAGCTGTAACTTGAGGAGCAAGTGTCTATTTGAAAGACACAAAGAAAATAAATACTTCATTTAGAAGGATGCATTTTTTTTTTCTCATGTCGATCCACCTTGATTGATCCATCCCTTCACAGTAGCTTCAGCTGAACTCTTTGTTCTTGTAAACAGTTTGCTGACAAAAAAAACAAAACATTAAGGTAATTATCAGTTTGTTTGCTGCCAGCCACTGAAAGAAACTGTCCAGAACAATCGCATTGTCTTTCCTGATGCTTTGACAACAAGCTTCACTGAAAGGTCTTTGCAGCTGTTTGCTGAAATGTTATTTTTCTCAAACCACTGAAAAACTGTAATTGTTGAGCCACTTTTTAAAAAAGAGTAGCTTGGACACATCTGCTGTTATAGATTAAAATAACCTTTGTAGATAGCAATTATATTTAATCTCAGTTTGGTTTTTGGTTTTTTAACCGTCCCACTTAAAGTTCGGTTTGGGGTGGGGGGCCGGTCATAATGGAGAAAACCAAGCACGCATGGTGGAGGGGTGATGATTTGGGCTTGTTTTAAAGCCACGGCATCTGGGCACCTTGCGGTCAATGAATCAACTGCAAACTCCTCTGTGTACCAAAATATTCTAGACTCAAATGTGAAGCCATCTGTCTCAGATAAATCTTGGCAAGCACAGCAGCAAATTTACAACAATCTACAATGAAAACAATGAAGTATTGCTATGGCCCAGTCAAAGTCCAGACCCTAATCTGACTGAAACACTACACTTAAGATAGTTGTGCATAAACAGGTGCCCATAAAGTCCGCCACAGTGATGTGAGAGACTGATAAAGTCATAAAAAAAAGTTATTGCTGCTACAAGTAGATCTACAAGCTACTGAATCATTGGATCATGTGAAACGTTTATTTTTCATGATACTGTATCTCCTGGAAACTTGTTTCTGTAATTTTGGATCTAAGTGGACCAACAGGAATTTGGGGGTTCCCTGCTGCTCACTCATTGTTCTCTTCTATTTGCACATTGAGCCTTTCACTGGGCTTCATTATGTGAAATATTACCAAGACTATCATTAGTAACTCTTGGACTGTCTTAAAATCATTTTAGATGTGCCAGAACTCTCTCCAGCTAAACGACAGCTAACTGAAAGATAGTTCTCATCTCAGTTTCTGGCTTTGATGACCAAAGACCAAGCACGAAATCTCAGTGTAATCCTGACTTTTATTGACTTTTACCTTTTAATTAAATTAGTTTAAGTCCTTATTCAACCTTAAAGCCATAAGAAGAATCAAGAAGAAGTCCCATAGAAGGGGAGCATTTTTTCTTTTCCTTCGATTTCCATCCAGAAACCTCCCAGACAGCTTCAGCTCTGCTTCAAATCAGATCTCTGCGCTGGCTTTCAGTGTCAATGAATAGAGTTTGAAGTACAGCTGCCCTTTTTGTTAATCCCTCAGTGGCTTAGAAGCACATTCTGACTTTCTTTTACTAACTCTCTCTAATTTTCAAATAATCAAATAGACAGTTTCTAACCCTTGAATTCAGATTAAACCCTTTCGTGTGTGTTTCCACTGCCTTGTGGATTCCTTAGTGATGAGCAGAGAGAGGAGTATTGAACTTTTGTTGGGCTTAGTCCAAACTGGTGCAAATTAAAAGTCAGTCTTTCCACTTTCTGTGTTTGAAAGCAATAAATTGGGCTTTAAATTTAGCTTGTCCAATTTAAAAAAAATGAAAAAAAGAATTTGACAGCATACACCAACTGCTGATTTATGACCTCAAAGGTCACGCTTATTAACAATTAAGTAATCTCCCTTCTTGTCCTAATTGGCTCTCTCTGCTGGCTGACTAACAGTGGATTGGACAGTGATCAGCTGGGTTGGGGAATGCTGTTGTGTGATATGGCATTTCAACTTTGTCCCTGAAGGCTGACTCAGACGCTTCTCCTTCACGCTAAAGGCACAAGGAACGTACCAATCTGGCCGTGTGCTGCATTTGTATGCCCGAAGGAGACTTTCGCTGAAATTCCACCAGCTGCTTTAATGTCAGAATTATGACACTGACTACAGACAAGGTAAGATCACTGGGTGCAGTTGATGCTTTTTGTGTAAGAGAGTGATTCAGCACGAGTGCGTGTCAAGAAAGCGTCGCTTTAAAAAAGGCGAACGTGAATGCAAGTTTGTCAGAGACAAGTGAAGTGTGAGATTGAGCGAGTTTTTGACACCCAGGTGAAATTGGGTAATACTGTGAAAAACGTTTTATCTTTTGAAAAACTGAGAAACACTTCAATTTCAGAACCATCACTGTTTGTTTCAGGTGTACGATGGGATGGACATCATTGACCTTCTGCTCAAAAACACAGGTGAATCCACCAGTTGCCACAGCAACCAAACGTGGACCAGCTCAACTAATGATGTAAGTGTGCTGCTCATTATGCACAGTTTGCTCCTAAACCGAATCACTCAGGGGAAAACATAATCACGGCCACAAATTCATCTCATCATGAGAACCTGAGTGCTGAGTTTAAACTGTATTCTGGGGTGTGCCTGATTGTATAGCGGCAAGTGTTGCAAATAGCAGGAACCAAAGGAAACAGAGAGAGAGAGCGAATTGAAAGCCTGGTGTGTTTACGCTTCTGTGTCTGCTTGTATGTGTGATTACTATTATCTATGATCTAGATTAATTCTGCCAATCAAGCCATAATGTAATTATGTATGCATACTCTCTTCAGACACTGAGCACTAAGCAAAGTGATCCTGATGATTTCTTGGAGTTCCTGCTGCATGGGAGCGACTCCTCCTCTGTGCCAGCATCACCCCTGTGGTCTCCCTGCACCAGCGACAGTGGCATCAACGAGGACCCCCTGACAAATCCCACAAACAGCCCTCACACAGCCTCCTGCACAGCCTCCACTCCCTGTGATATTCAGGCTTTCACGCAGTCTTCGTGTCTCGTGAATCAGACAGTGGCAAATGAAAAAAAGCCAGATGTTGTTATCGATCTCGGTAAGACAACATTTAAATAGCAAAGGGTTAACCGGCTTGCTTTTTTATACAGGCCAAAAACATGTACTGAATTGGAACCTGTAAAGCAGTAGTTTGTTTTAACAGTGAGCGCAAATGTGAGGTTGAGACGTGTAAAGAACAAAGTAACCAGGGCACAGGACTACCAGATGAAAAAGGGGAAGCTTTTGACATTGTGAGATCTCTCATTTTGTGCTTTCTGTAGTGGGATAATGGGGGCTTTTGACTGAGCCTCTGATGGCGGACCTTTCAAAGAGCCACTTGTTTGGTTTTTCCCATTTTTGAACATCTTTAAAGATAAACGGTTGTGATTGTTGCCATGCATAAACTGTTTTGTGAGGGCAGCTATTTTGAATATTGGTTCATTTCACTGTGCAGTTTTTTGACCCACCACTAGTGCCAGAAATATCTGAAAATACATTTCATTTAAAAAAACCCACATACATCACCTTCTAATTACAACAAAAGGTTTTAAAACACAAGCAAATACATCCACAAGGTCATAATTATGAGGAAAGGAAAGTAATCTTTTCGGGCTGTAATTTCTTTAACTCTTTACATACCTGCTTAATTACCCATCAGCATCACAATTACAGTGGACAGCTGTTTTATTTGTCTGTACTGGACTTCATCAGTGAATGAGTGAATAAATTCATCATTTACTTGGATTTATATAGTATATATTGTCTGTTAGGTTAAAGGTCAGTGTTCTTTTAATTCATTACAGGGAACAATTGTTGTAACACTGGTCTTGTGCTTGTAAGACTATATTACAAAGTCCCTTTCAGCAGCTGCTCGAAGCTTTGTAACAGCTATTACCGTGAAGGTTAAATCCATTGTGCATTTGAAAGGTAGCGACAACTACACAAACCGCCATAAACTGCAGCCTTTAACTCGCCACAGAACCAGTGTGGGTGTAATTCAAATGTATGAATTTATATCCGCGAGGGAAGCGTTACTGGTTTAAATGCTCCTGCCAGAAAAGATCAGCAGATAAGACCAGAGGGTTCCTGATAATTCGAAATGGCTGTGGAGTGTTGACATATCAATATTAATGCAACCCACACAATTTAACATGAGTGTTTCCCAGTGTTTACAATTTTCCACATTTGCTTTGACACATTTCTTGAAACCTTTCACACACATTATTTCTTTTTTCCAAGCTGTTAACACAAAACCTAGACACAATACTCAAAGTCAAACTACTATTCATAAAACCTCTGACTCTTGTAAACAATCGTATCGAAATAGTTTCGACTGTGCTTTCAGGTCACACTCAAATCCCACAACAATAAGAGCACTAACGAGCCTTCATTGAGCAACACATCAAAAAAATGGAAAACACAACATCAGGGTGTGGACTTTAAAAATAGTTTGAATAATCAGAATAAAATAGAACAGAAAATCAAAATGCAAAAAACTGAACGAAATAGAGTACAAGAAAACAGATCATTACAAAAATAATTACTGTTAATAAGAATCTTAATGGAAAACAGGCACAGTCAGTGATTTTCTGAGGTTATTTAATAGGAAAAACTGTACTGTGCTGATGCTGTACTCATAGTATCTACCTAATAATACACAGGAGCAGGTCTGCAGTTTATAATCCTATGATCTATGTATGATCTATCTATGTATCAAAGAGGCGTAGGCTTTCGAGTGCCATGGAGGGACATTTAACTTTGTGCCTGCACCTTCAGTCTGAAGATATTAAAGATCATACCTATATTTTATCATTGGAGAAGGTGTCCCCCTCAACAATTAGCGAAAACATCTGGATAAAATGTCATCCTTTCCTTCTTATCTCAAGCCTTACCTCCTGAACTGAAGTCACATGAAAACATATGCACAAATTTATTTATTCCTGATATTGTCGCAATTACAGTCAGTAGATTAGACATGTGACCCTCCAGTCTGGGACGGCTGACAGAAAACAACAAAAGCTGTTTGTAAATTAACATTATAGCAGCTAATTTCTTAAAATTCAAACCTTCCCTCTGATAAACAGCTTGATTACATTCTCACATTGTATGTGAGTTTATTCACTAAGCATCCAAGTCCAACAATGTTACATCAACTTTAAAGAAAGTTTCACTCATGCTGGCAAACACCAGCTAACAGCAGCAAAAACAACAGGCTAAGGCTTAAGCATATCCTCAGCAACTCACCTCATCTCATATCATCCATCAGAACTGACCTTCGCTAACTCATCAACTTATATCGAACTCTCACAAACGTCCACAGCCCACTTCAAAGTAAATAGATGTGGACGCCTCTCACCCGTCATTGGCAGCTGAGGTAAACAGTGGGCTGACAGCCTTCACACGAATAAAGAAATTGAGCAGACAATAGTAGATACACACTGGCTGGCTGTGGCGATTATGGAGTACAGTCTAAATTTAATGTCTTTGATCTCTCTTGGCTGGCTAAAACATTTTTCTCATATTGCAGCAACTGTAGCTCGGATTATGCATTTGAATCGAGATGGGTAAGAAAACAAAACTCAGTTGACTGAAATTTACTGACATCTAGAGGTGAAAATGTTTATTTACTGTAACTTTAAATTAAAACAGAAACAAGCAAAACAATCCTTTTTAAAGGAGCCCACAGAGAGCTAAACAAAGCTGGAGTGGGAGAATATTCCATATTCTAGGTGCCACAGACTGAAATGCTCTGTCAGTCCTGAGTCTTGTACAAGGAACAACCATTATATTCAGAGCCTACAACTGAAGACTACGATTAGGAGTGTGTTTAATAAGAAGCAGACATAAATTATCTAGAGCCTGTCCATTCAGTACTCTATTAGTAACTTTAAGAATATAAAAACATCATAGAATCTACTGAATTTACTGTGTAAAGCACATATAGCTGTAATACTTTAATACATGTAAACATTTACTTTCGGAAAAAATGGAAAGTTCTGATGCTATTTTCTATTTTTGTTTTTCAAATTGACTTTCTGTGAACAAGAACATGGCCTATCGCAATCATCTGAAATTGCTGTTTTCCTCTTCTTACAAATGCTTGTACACCTTTGTGCACTATGAACTGGCATCTGTGTGTTAACAAGAGCGAACAATTTCAAGTTGTATTTAGGAAACGAAACACAATGCGCTGTAGTTGTGCTTTCCAAATGAGCACTAAGAGCAATTTATGTATAACTAGCTGGAAATTAAGAGAGTGAGTCTTTCAGTAAATGGAGTTGGGACACTGTATTTGTTTTAAAAGTGGCATATCAGGTTTGATTAATTGTGAAAAGCTGACAATATAAAAATCACACGTTCTTTAGCCTAGGTTAACTGGCTACCTTAAAACTTTCTCACAATTTTTTTTATATAATTACAAGACAATGTCCTGATGTCACTAATATTAAAGTAAAGATACATACTCCAAATCAAGCCAATATTTTGTGTGACCAAGTTTTCAAGGTACTTGGCTGGTTGCTTGCTTCAGGTGGCTTTTGTAGATTTTGGCTATCTCGACATCTTTAGTCTCTCCCAGACTGACTCCATGAGACAAGAGCTTGATGGGGACTGTGCCATCTGGTGCATAATTGGTGCAGGCATGATCAGTCTCCTCCCTGGTGGTGCCACAGGATGGACAGGAATCCAAGTGTCTAAAATGCCTAAAAACCTGTGCAGCATTGTGTGTTTGCAAAGTGTTTTTAAAGCACAGAAAGATGCTGCAATGACTGACGTTTTGTGGTGGGTTTTGTTTGAACTGCAAATACAAGCAATTTTGTAAACCATGACATGTGGTGTACTGTTTTTTCTGCTTTAATATGCAGGCTGTGAGTCTGGCAGCTTAGAGGAGGATATCGGAATTTCATACTACCTCACCACAAACCAAAATCCTTTGCAACCACCCAGCCATTCTCTCACTGTGAAGGACCTGCTGTTATCCAACCTGGGAGACAAAGTAAGAAGGGTTTCATAATTGTGTTGAAACTTAAAATATGTGTGGTGTCCTGTCCAACTCTGACTGAAAGAGAATTTTACTATCTGCCTGTGCCTTCTTGGGGAAAGCTGCAAATAGAGTAACTTTAAGTGAAATGAATTCTGTCCATCTGGTTCACAGGCGCAGCGAATCCCCCAGCATTCCTTGCGGGAGCTTGTACTTAATGAGGATGAGAAGAAGCTTCTGGCTAAAGAAGGGGTAAACTTGCCCAGCAGACTGCCTCTATCCAAGGTACATGAGCAATATACACATGTATGTAGGGCAAACGTCTCTGCACAAGCATGCTCCAAACACATCCACAAACACACACTCGTGATCTAAATCTGTATCCCCAATTTATGTATAAATCTGTATCCCCAGTTACACAAAGTCAGCCAGATATGATGCCCCCCCTACCCCACCCACCCTTCCCCACCACACACACACACACACACACACACACACACACACACACACACACACACACACAC